AAATAAAAATTTATTCATATCATTCAGATTGTCGAACGAGGAAGAAAGAGCGACTAATGATCAAGGAGTTGAAATCTATGCCCAAGGCTTCAACTTCATGTCAGCTTGCAACTACACGTTTTTATTAGAATCTTTGTTTTACCTTTTGTTATTGTTGGAATCTATTTAACAGAGGAGTTTCTTCGGTTGTAATAGAATACTAGATGATTTTCCCGTGCTCATGCACGGATATGAATATTCATAAAAGTAAAATTTTATAATAGTTGATTGATATTTAGTTTAAGTTTTGAATCAATTTCTATGTATAATTTATATTAATAAATATTATATTATTCTTTATACATATGACTTTGGATATATTATTGTTGGTTTAATTATTTTTTGTATCAATAATCGGTTTGGTTATCAATTTGGTATATTGGATAATATCTATTTTTTTAGTTCAGCTATAATATTTTTTATTCTAAATATAATAAAACTTTGACTAATTTTCTTATTTTCATTTCGGTTGGTTATTGTCTTAGATATGTAAATATATTCTTAGATATATAAATATAGTATAATTAAATTATGTATAACTTAATATATATTGTGCTTAAAATGAAATAAATAATAAGCTGAAGTGTTTGATTCAAAATTACATAAATGAATATAATGATAATATTTTCAAATCTCATGCATATATATAAATTCTACAAAAGAATTAAATTGTAATTGGTTAATATTTTATTTTTCTTTTGAATATACTTTGAGTCAACCTCTAATTTATATGTATAAAACTAAATATGTTAATATATAATTTCGTTTTTAAATTTCTTTTAAAATTTTAGAAATATTTCCTTTTTCTTATATATGTTATTTGGAAAAAGGTAATAGAAACTAAATAAAAAAATTAATAATAATCTTAAAATCTAACAATTCATTAAAGGTATCTATATAATCAACCATCGCGAGAATTAACGTGAGCGCGACACGTAGGAAACTGACTTCTCAAATAATATTATAGAGATTGAGTTTTGTCTTGTTCATGGTCCAGACGAGACTTTTTCAAGATGATTTTTGTAAATTTATACAATGGTCAGATTGTGATGAATTTGAGATCTATGTCTAAAGCTTCAGCCCCATGTCAGCTTGTAATCGAATTATAGAATTTATTTTTCTAGGAAATACATTTTGGAAGATTAGAAATCTTGCCAATAAGCCCTATTTAATAGCTATTAAAAATATTAATACACAACCTAGGCAAAACAATAGGAAATGGTCAAAATATAAGAGTATGGAAAGATGCGTGGATATCTGTCGACCACCCTTTTAAACCCTTTGGCCCTGTCCATGAGTCATGTTTGGATTTTAGAGTCTCTGATCTCCTTACAGACGATCTGCAGTGGAATAAGGAAAGGATTGACCAGATCTTACCAAATTTCAGCAACCAAGTTCTTTGCTTGAAGCCAAGTAAAGAAGGAACAGAAGATTCCTATGTTTGGCTTCCTCTGGAATCTGGGATTTATTCGACAAAATCTGGTTACAACATCGTGTCCAAGAACTACCTCGTCCCTGGTACCACAACGGCGTCCTCTATTGATGAGGATTTCCTTTGGCAAAAATATGTATGGTCAGTAAAAACAGCGCCTAAATTAAAGCTTTTTTATGATTAATGCTACAAAGAGCTCTACCTTTAGGAGTTGAACTCAGACGCTGGAGAATGATCACAGCGGCCACTTGTCCTCGCTGTTTAGAAGAGGAATCAGCCCTCCATGCCTTCTTCAAGTGCCCTTTCGCAAAAGAAGTATGGCGTTTATCTCCTTTCTCTGCACCAGTTCACCTAGCTGAGGGAGATAGCTTGCAATCCACGCTGGTCAAATTCAGAAGAGCAACGTGTCTCCCCCCCCCCCACAGGAGTCACCGTCCCCGTGGTCCCATGGATCCTCTGGTCATTGTGGATGGCCAGAAACAAGTTAATTTTCGAAGACAAGACAGCACAACCTATGGAAATAGCCACAAAAGGAATCTCATCAACTCTTGAGTGGGTTCAAGCGCAATACAAATCCAACCCCAAGATTCAGAGTTCCTTGCCTATAAATCGTGCTCATCTAACCTCATCAAGACCACCTGCAATCACGTCGTGTTTCGTGGATGCATCTTGGGAGTCGGCGTCAAATACTGCTGGAATCGCTTGGATCTTTTCCTCGAACCATTCTTCCCCCTCCCCTTCAGGATCGATGGCCGTTAAGGATGTCTCCTCACCTTTGATGGCCGAATCTTTAGCTCTCCGTTCCGGTATCGTCGAAGCCCTAAGCCTAGGGTTTCATCAGTCTCGTTTCACTTCGACTGCGCAACGCTCATCCGAGCAAATTTCATCTGGAAGTCCGATCAAAGAGGTCTACGGTGTTCTTTACGACATCAAGACTCTCTCGTCTCACTTCTCTTCTATCTCTTTCTCATCTCTCGTTCGTAGAACAGAGAAGCAGATGGTTTAGGTACACGGGCCCTAAAAACTCATCGCATTTCAGCTTCTAGTCTTTGTCATGCACCCTTTGTTTTGTTGGGCTAACCCCCCTGTGGGCCTGAACCTCCATGTTTTGTTTATCTTGCTCTTAATTAAAAAATCAGTTGTTCAAAAAAAATATATATATATTAATACACAAATAATATGCGACACGGAAACATTAACAAAAATTAGGGTTTCATATCTCTCCTATTCCTCTACGCTCCCAAAATAAGACTACTCCTTCAGATCTCAAACGACTGCGCGATGGAAGCTGCGAAATTGGGAACTGAAGAGGTGATACGTTCTGATAGGATCAGTCACCTACCTGATTACTTGCTCTTAAAAATCCTCTCATTGGTTCCTGTAGGAATTGCAAAGCACGCAAGATTACTGTCTAAACGATGGAACTATGTGTGGAAGATGATGCCAACGCTTGTGTATGCCGAAATATGTAGTCGCTACAGTACTGGTTCCCTTGAGTTTGACCAATTTTGCCGCAAGTCCTTGCCATCACATCAAGCTCTCAAAACTCTAAATATCAGACTTAAGAATGGCTCTGATTCCATAGATACTCTCCTATTCCCGAGCATTCGTTCCAGTACTCTCCTGAATATCGAAATCACACAGGAATCTTATTTTGGTCATTACAGTCCCATCAGATTCCCAAATAACCTCAATGTCTTCAAAACGCTCCTTGTCTTGAAACTCAAAGGCCAGATTGTTCTCGACGTTGTAGCTTCTCCTGTTTGTTTCCCTTCCTTGAAGACGTTACACCTCACATATGTGTGTTTCGAGCGCAAAAGATCTTTCAAAAGAATGCTATCCGCGTGTCCTGTTCTTGAAGATCTCGTCCTCAAAAGGCTGTGTACTGGTGTAAATTATTTGTTCCCTATATCGATATCATCCCCCTCTTTACAGAGGTTATCCATTGATACGGAATATGGGCTGTATCGTGATGACAAAGACCAGATACTCGAGATAAGTGCACCTTCTTTGAAATACTTAAAGATCTTCGACATTCGAGCTTGTTATAACCTCACTGAAGATATGCCTAAGTTGGTGGAGGCTAATGTGTCAATTGACTTGCCGAGACATGAGAACCTTTTTAAAGTTATTTCTTCGGTTGAACGTCTCTCGATAAGTTTTCATGCTGCACTGGTAAATACCCTTTTCATATTCTTTGAAGGTCGCACTGGATTTCAAGAATTATGAAATATTGTTTTTTTTGTGTCTAGGTTGTTGAACTTACGGATGGCTTAATCTTCAACCGGCTAGTTCAACTTGAATTAAACATGAACTACTCCTTTTGCTCTAATCTACTTCAGCGTTCGCTGAGACATTTTCCTAATATACAATATCTCAAGCTTGTCAACGTAAGTTCACATTTTGCCCGTATTAGTAATTTCTTCAATAACTTTTGAATTTATCTAATACAATGCCTTTTAATGTTTCCTAGACATTTCAAGGAGTCAAGAGGGAACAACTCAACTGGTTAGTCTCTGTTCCTACATGCTTGAGCTTTCATCTGGAGATTCTTCAATGGATAGGGTATGGAGGACAACTGCATGAGAGAGAAGCCGCAGTTTACATTTTTGAAAACGCTCATCGTTTAAAAACTGCTACGTTCTCATTACGGGAAATTGGTTATGGTCCGAATCGTCAGATTATGATGAAAGATTTGAGATCTATGCCAAAAGCTTCGGCCTCATGTCAGCTTGTGTTCAAATAAAAAAAATTGATCAATCGCTGCTTGTATTCGATGCAGAATCTGCCTATCATTCCAATATTCGAGATAAACACTCTTTCTTTGAACTACTTAAACATCAACGATCGTGTAGGTTGTTTTAATTTTGTTGAGGATTTGCCTATGCTAGTGGAGGCTGATATTTCCGTGTACGCTTGAAACTTTCATACGTACTGCTCTTGGTTAGCGAATTATTAGCCTTTTAGATCACAAAAGCTATTATAGCTTGCGAGCTCCTTATCATTACACTCAAAATCTTATGCTTAAGAAAGACAACTTCATCTCAACCTACATTTTTTCACAACAAACTTCAGTGAATCTAATTCTGAGTTTTCTCGAACATTTCATAACCTACAAAATTCTCAAACTCAACTAGGTAAATCAGAATGCTCATATATACCTGGCGAGGTGACTAGTGACTCCAACAAGAGTTGGAATAGCCAAAATTTATATAAAAAGAGTATAATTCGTCCAAATGAGTTTTCTTACTTTTGGCATACAAATACACAGGATTGAGATTATGGTCTTGTTAGTTTCTCCAGATGACCACATGAAGAATTGATATTTGTTCTTTCAAAACAAAATCAAAAAGAATTGATATTTGTTGTGTTAAAGTATGGATTATCAAAATGATTCGTCCAAATGAGTTTTAAAATTTTAGCATTTTATGATACTCATCCATATAAGTCTTATGATCTAGATGAATCTAATTGGTACATTTGATATTTGTTTAGCCAACTTTGTATTTCAACATGTATATATAACTTTGATAATATTAGTCAAAATCAGATGACAAAAACAACGCGGCTTCCTATTTTTGTGATTGCATAGAAGCATATAGTTTGGAAGCTATTATTATGTGCAGTAATATATCTTTTACAGTCTGGTATTAAAAGAATTGATCCAATATTACAATCTCAAAATGCAGGTTTAGCTTATCTGCAGAAGATATCAAAGGAGAAAATAAATTTCAGGGTTAAAGCTTATAACACAAGGAAACTATTTTAAGTTCCTTCCATAACAAGAAAACGGAAAAACTTCATTTTTCAGAAGAACACAAACCTGTTTTAAGTTCATTTCCGTGTCAAAAACACTAATCCTGCAAAACCCACCACAATCAATGCACGCATCACCTGAAAATGACACATATTATGAACATATTTTAAATAATAGTTGGTTAACGATGTATATGTTTACAGAAACCTACTTGTCCAACAGGTCCTCTTGAACTTTCTGAATCTGCAGATGATGTCTGAGACTTATGTTTCTTTGATCTCTCAATGTTCTTCCACTTGTTGTTGATATTCATTTTCTCAATGCTTCTGCTGCTGAGTCCCCTCTGAAAAATGTGTCGAGTAAACAGCAAAATCTGAGATATATCATACAAAGATTGTAAAAACAAAACCACCAAGACCACTGCTTCTGTACCTCACCAATGTTTTCCTTCTTGGATTCTTCTTTCTTCTTCTGTAACACATCCTTTGCCTCATCAGGAAATATCCAGAGACGTGATCCTCGTGCATTCTCAAGATGAGAATCCTTCAAACGCACAGGTTTGTTCTGTTTCTTCTCATCATTCCTTACTTCCACCACCGAGCTTCTTCTTCTCCTCTGCTTACTCAACGAGTCACTTCTTCTAGTGCTCTTCTCCTCTATAACCAATGTCCTTTCCTCTCTTGAAACTGTTACTAAATCATCACATCTCTCTGTCTTTATATTCATAGAGCTTCCCGGTTGTGACTGCACCTTAGTTTTCTCCTCCACATCTTTACAAGATTCACCTTGACTCTTCACCGTCTGAAGCTTTGTATCCTGTGTCCAAAACGTTTTTTTAAAGATCTTGATCACAAAGATTCATACTCAAAACCCTAAAAAGACATTACCTGAGTCACTTTAACCTCAAAGGTGCTAATCATTTTCCGAACATTGCTCAAGTTTGTCTCTGACAAACTCCTCCGCATTGGCTTACTATTAGGGATCACTTCCGTTTTGCTCAAATCTTTATCTTCTTGCTTCAGCAACGATACACTCTCGAGCTTCTTAACCTCGTGGAGCTTCTTGCTTAAAGAAACATCTGAAGAAGATGGTTGATTCTTCTTCTTCTTCTCAGTTATATTCTTTACTTCAGGCTTCCCCATTGTAAATTTTGAAGAAACTGGTTCTCTATTTGCACTAATCTAGATAAAGTGAAATAATCAGTTACCAAAAAGATAAGGCGTTTTAAAAATCTTGTTAAGTAAAAGCGGTTATCAAAGTGACTAACAATCATACTTTAAGCTCAGTTTCTTGAGACAGACCAAGATTTGTCTTTGGACTAGCAGCAACAGTGTCTCGGGTTTGTATAGGACTTAGAGAAGACAGATCTCTCATAACATCAACAGTAAGAAAAAAAAAACATTTAGAAAAAAAAAATGTAAAAAACCAAAACAGTGAAGTAACATTTTTATTTCTTTTCATCTACTAACCTGAAGCAATGCTTTTAGATTTGGTAAAAGAACTGCCACTAGTGAGCGCCTCGTGCTTCTTTCTCAATGCAGTTTGTCTCTTTGAAAGCAATCGAGAACCAATAAGATTTGGAATTTAATGAACATAAAAACAGAGCATATCAATAAGATAACGAATAATTATGGTTACCAAGAAACGTATGCGATTTCGATCTTCTTCACTGAGAACAAACTGCATTTTAAGTTGGACATTTCCATAGCCATTGAATAAAATTTTCTCTTCCAAAAAGCCACTCTCTATTATCATCCTGGTTTCTATCTCTAAAGAAACTCCACAAAATTCAGAAGCCAACTAATAAAAATTCATTTTGATCTATAAAAACGTTACCTTTCTGTAGTATTCCTTTACCATTGACATCTAACAAAGTAACAATCAAGTTTTCTTGGAGCCTTGTGACAGGACTGTGGCCACAACTCAGTAAAAAAAAACAAGAATGTATCAGACTTTCAAGAATTTGAAATTTAAAAAGTAATCAAAGTAGAGAGAGATTACAAAATGTAGTCTCCTGAATCTGAAGTTTGATACTCAAGCTTCCCCATAGCAACTGATACATGACAACAATTCAAAAAAAAAAATGGTAAAAAGGAATGTAGAAAGCGATATAGGAAATAGAGTCAAGTAAAGAAACCTTTAATGGAAGTGTTTGAAGAAGCTGTCTGAACATCAATAAGACCCAGAACTGATGGTTTACAGACAAAAAAAAAAACATGTATTTGATCAGTTACTGCTGAAATTGTGTTAAGTACTAAGGCCAGAAATCGAAAGTTGCGGTTACCTGAAACTTGTATAGTTCCTGGCATTGATCGAATGTCAACGCACGCAGGGTGTGGTTACTTCGGTTGTTAATAAAAAAAGGAAATTTGATTGTTATGGAAGAAGAGAAAGAGTGAGGGAAAATCGAAAACAGAGGATTGGATGGAAATATATGTTTGTGGTTGTAAATTGATTTTGAAATGTTGAGAGGGGACCCTATACTTCTTTCTTTCTTGATGATGAGTTTCATTAATTACTCTAAACTACACATTTCATGTTTTTGTTAACTCTCTTTCATATTTGTTTCTTCTATGTTCTTGTCATCTGGTTTCTTTAATATTCACTTATAAGTTCGTTTTATTTTTGTTGATTTATTAACTGATATATATATAGATCATGTAATTAGATGACTTAAACTTTACAATCAAAAATATATTATTTATTAATTAATTTAAATAAACTGTACTAAACTCTTTATTAGCAAAAAAAATTGTAATTGTTACCAAAATGGTATTTAGAAGTTTATAACTTCTGTAGTTAATATTTCAAATTATAGAACAGTTTTACTTTTATTACATCTAATAATACTGTACTAAACTCTTTATTAGCAAAAAAAAATCTCAAAATGGTATTTAGAAGTTTATAACTTCTATAGTTAATATTCTAGTTATAGAACAGCTTTACCCTTTTTACATCAAATTTAACCCATAAATTCTCGTAACAGCTGGTATTAATGGCTAAATAATCAAAAGATAAAAAAAAACATTGGATTTCACACATTACACTATTTATATGCACCCATCCATGGTTATTAAGGCACCATACCAGGGAGACACTAGCCCTATAAACAATAATGTAGCAGAAAAAATAAATATGAAGACTAGAAAGAAAAGAAAGAAAAACACTTTTTGAATTAGGTCAACCCCATATAGGTTTTAAGAAACAAAGAAAATAAATTAGTAAGATAGTTTTTATGATAAGGAGTAACAAAATATGTGGGTTTGAAATTTTCTCAAGATCTCTTTTAACTTGATATGTCGTCGCTTTAAATGCAACACAAACACATTATCGTCTTCACACATAATCTCTTGTCCTATACACACATTCATGTGTTCTGATATCAACCACCTTTTCCCTCATCCGTTCATAAATCTTGTTTTCAGAATATTTTAACAAATGATTTTATCCAGTTGATATATATTCAAGTTTAACCCTGTTTAAGAAAATTGAATGGCCTTTTTATGTCACATTTAACTAGAATCGCTTATCAATTCATATCTAACATTGTGGTGGCCTGTATAAAGATGAAAAGATAAATGAAAGTTTCATATTATTTCTCAAAGCACGTAACACAATATAAAGATGTATCGGTAATTATTGCTCCATCAGGGAAAAAACATAACATAAACCCTAAACCAAAATCTCCCAAGACATATATATATAGAGAGCCATTATATATTATATTAAACTCTCACACATTCTAGTTATAAAATGTTTAGACCAACTTCAAACCACATTGATCACTCCAAGATTTAAAATTTATCATTACTTTGATTACTATTTTTGTATTATTATAAAATTAACCTTCTTTTGTCATCAAAAGATAATTGTCATTTTCTGATCAGCCATGCACCCTTCCATACGACAAAGCCATGAGCAAAACAGCAGCTTCCTTCTCATCTTGTGGGAACACTTGTTGATAAGCTGAGCTTTTGCTCAACATTATCGTCAAGTCATCGAAGCGAAGTTTGTTGAAAGAAACTGAAGAATCAGATGAAGTTGTTGATTTACTGATCTCAGAATCTCCACCAACCATGGCCGCGTCCTCCTCTCCTTCGTTGATCTTGCACTTTTTTGTATTGGCCACTATAGGGGGAGTAATATCGTATTTGTCTCCTCCATTATATCGCTTTTTCTTGTTTTGAACCTTCTTTTTCACCGGTAAATGTTGCATCCGTGCCGCCACCACCTCTTGGTCGCCCGTAGCTGTGGCTGCAGCCATTGCGGCCCGCCTCGCCTTTCTTTGTCTTATGCCACATGCGTTACAAAGAGACTGTAATAAAAAAAAAAGTTTGTGAATATTAATTTACGTATATAGCTGAGTTGTAGTTGATCAAATTATTTACATAATATTGAACGCGTATGTTATCGTTGAGGATAAAAGTGTCTGTAAGTCTAAAGATGCATTAGACTTGAATAAACCATATATATATTTATGCGGTTTTTTGACACATAGCTACAAATTGAAAAAGGTATATTGTATAGTCAATAGAGTAAGATATATACCAAAAAAAATCAATAAATTTACCTTGGGACCTCGAGGCCCACTTCTCCAAAGAGGAGTATTGGTGGTGTTGCAATCGGAACAAACCCTAATCACGCCACTGTTATTACCATAACCATTCTCGTTGATTGTATTGTACCTATTTTTCCTGGTCACGGACGTGGTCGTCCTGGGCGAGACTTTCCTGAGATCTTCATCGTGATCTTCTTCCAAACTAATCTTCTGATTTAAAGGGTAGTGATCTTCTTTATGATCATTATTATTATTACTAGTGTGATCGGTGGACTGTTTATTGTTGGTTATTGTATTCTTGATCAACCGCATCTTTGGAGATATCATCCACTTGTCGGAGTCTGAATTGGGTTTTGTCGGGTTTTGAAGAAGAAAACCGGTTTGGTTTTCGTGATGATCTTTTTTCCTTATTGTTAGTTTCAGTCTTGTCTCCTTCTTTGCCACCATGTGATCATATGATGATGGCGATCCACCGTTAAACATCTTGGCCTGATATATATCAAGGTTTATAATTAACTTAACAAAGTAATGATTTATGTGTTTTCTTAAGATTCCCCCCTTTAATTCTATAATTTTGAACTTCTTTTATGTAAATTTTTCTCAAAACAGATTTAAAAACTAAAATATTCATTGTATGAACTTTACATGATCAAGCATTATTTTTACAACTAAACTACAGATCATCCAAAATAGCATATATATATATAAGGTTGATATATGATTATAAACACATATATGTATGTGCATACCTTGAGGGGTTGAGAAAGATGGACATGATCAGCAAGATAAGTGTTGTTGTAAGCAACATGCTGGTCTTCTTGGGAGTTGATCAAGAAAGGAAGGCAAGAGGAGAGAGACAAATTGGAAGAGGAGGAAGATGAAGAAGTAGAAAGAACTTGATGATTATGAAGAAGAGACGAAGAAGATCCAAGAGGCTCATGATGGTTTAGATCTTCGTTTAGATCTATAGAGTAATGAAAATTCGAACCCATTGATGAAGAAGAGAGATAAAAACTCAAAAGAGAGAGAGATCATGGATGGCAAAATTAAAAGAGTCAATCGATACTATATATGGTCGCTTTTAAAGGACATGAGATGAGACACGAGCCAACATGGTTTCTATTATACTTATATATAATATTTAATATATGGTTTATTTGAGGCTAGAGTTACCTTAGTTATGTCTATGTATACATCAACTTGTAAGACATTAATAAAAAATACTCTTTTTAATTTCTACCCCTCACCAGTGTGATCGTAAACCCACAACAAAAGTTAATTAGTTCGGGTTATCCCTTATATTGATTTTAAGAAAAGAAAAATAGCTACAAGGCAACTTTTAAAAGAAAGTTATAGATTAAGAAAAAATAACTAAAAGAATAAGAGAAATTATTTATATTACAAAATGTATTGTTTCAGTTATACGCAACCATTATGTAACGATCTTGGTTGATCCAATGTTTTCGGATGTCCAATCCAAGATGAAAAAGTTATGTTCTTTTTATGAATTTTGCTAATTGCTAGTGTGGTCACTGGATAAGCTAGTATTTGTACTGACTAGTATACTAATAGTAATATGTTATTAAAAGAAAGTAGAAAATCCATGTATATTTAGTTAATTAGAGGTTCACGTGAGTCCATGGCGTCAATACGAAACCAAACACATGAGACAAACTGTGTGTATATGGAATAGTACTGGGCGACCCCATTCAAAGCAAACCTATCTAGTTTCCTTACCCCACCAGAGAGACAGAGAAAATTGAAAAATAAAACCCTGTTTAAAATATCTTACAGGGTAAGAGCCACACAAATTTTGATATAGTGATTCTTTTACTTGTAGTCTTTTCAAATCAGGGTTTCCTAATCAAGGTTCTATTACAGTAAGGAAAAAAGTCAGTTTGGATTTCTTATGTTATTCAATTTCATACCCCTTAAAATAAAAACATATTGTATCAAAGAAGAAGTAAAAAGGTTCGATTACACCCAAAAAAGGTTAGATGTATAATTATCAACTTTATCACCAATTCTTTTACCAAAAAAAACTAGGTGACTTTTATATTTTATGTTTGTCTCCGATACTAGTATTTACCCTAACTAGTATCAGTAGAAAGTTTAGAATATATTTGCTAAAGTATAACTAAAATTTTCTTCAACAAAGTTAGTGGATCTATTTAATTAAATCCCCACTAGTAGTTGTAGTTGTAGTAGTAGTAATTCGTATTTAAGATTATAAATTTTATTGTAACGGGCATAAATCCTAGCATTACTAAGTAGTTAAAGTTGACCCAGCGGACAAAACAAATTCAAGATCTCTTGAAACCTATAAGTATATTTGATGTAGCTCGTGAGTCATGATCTATTCAACTGCATGTGATCCATCAACAATCTGTTTCAGAAGAGAGAGAGAGAGAAACATGATTTGAGAGATGAGATTGAGGCAGAGGGAGAGAAGAGATAACAACAGAAGACAAGAGATAGGTTTAGAATGGTAAAGGGAGAACAGATCCCCACCTAAAGTATTGCCAAACGTATTCAGTTCCTTCTTATCAGATTTACAGATCACTGAGGACCCTTACGCACACAAAGAGACAACTCGTTCTCATTTTCAAAATTCAAAATCAGTTCATCAATTGATATTTGTATATATTAATCCCTTCTAGGTTAAATTATCAAGCAACTATCTCCATTTAGTAGTTTTTCTTATGGAAATGTAAATCTGATCTATCACTCTTTCTTTTTACCAACAAATTCAAGGTCTGTGGCTATAATTTACCAGATCCAATGCAATTGATAAGTAACAGCTGTCCTAGACCGAAAATAATTTTGTCTAAGATCACGGTATCCAAGTTCAAGCAAAAAAAAATATATATTTATGGAGAGTAATAATTTATGCAGAACATTTTATTCTCGAAATGAAAAGAACTGATGAAATAGGGCCATTGGATGACGGAGCGATTTACGTACTGAGATCGATGTGAGAAGAGAAAAAGAGGCATAGAGGAAAGACAGAAACCTAGTAGCCTAAATCGGTATCTAGCTAAGCTAGCTTCTCTGATCGTTTTTTGTTCTTACATATGCTAGAAAAGAACACGATGCGATCTATCAAGCTCCCTCAACGTTATGTTTACGAAAAAACTATACTTAACTTTTGACCCAAAAAAAAAACTATACTTAACCTAGCAGTATACACTATTAAGCTTGGCAAAAAATATGTTATATTTAAGTACTTGTTTTAATTTGATTATGTACTCT